CAGGCGGCCGGGCGAGGCGGAGCAGGAGGCGCTGACCGTGCTTTCCTCTCCAGAGCCTGCCCCTCAACCCCAAGCCGTTCCTGAACGGGCTGACGGGGAAGCCGGTGATGGTGAAGCTGAAGTGGGGGATGGAGTACAAGGGCTACCTCGTCTCCGTGGACGGCTACATGAACATGCAGGTGAGGGGCCGGGGCATGCCTGGGACGCGGGCGGTGCCGGGCCCCGGCGCTGTGGAGGCCTCATCCCTGGCAGTGTCCGAGACCGGGCTGGATGGGGCTCTGAGCAACCTGCTCTAGGGGAAGGTGTCAATGCCCATGGCAGGGGGACGGAACGAGATGATGTGTAAGGACCTTTCCCGCCTTTCCCAGCTTCCCATAACTGCTGCGTGCTGGGATGACAGGCAGCCATCCATCCCTCCATCCATCCATCCCTCCATCCATCCATCCATCCATCCATCCATCCATCCATCCATCCATCCATCCTTCCATCCATCCCTCCATCCATCCATCCATCCCTCCATCCCTCCATCCCTCCATCCTCAGTGGGGATGCTGTGCAGTGTGGGAGCAGGGCATCTCAGCCACCCCCTCTCACTGTAGCCGAGCCCTGGGCTGAGGACAGAACAGTCATGTGCTTTGTGAAGCCGCTTTTATTGCTGTCGTTCTGATTTTTTTCTCATTTTCTTTTCAAGCTTGCAAACACAGAGGAGTACATAGATGGTGCACTGTCTGGACACCTGGGTGAAGTTTTGATAAGGTAATTGGGGTACTTGTTTATGGTGGAGGAAGGCTCTAAATTACCTCACCGCTTTCATTAAAGCCTGTACTGGTGGGTGCCGTGTTTCTTGTCTAATTAAGATGCTAAGTGTAGCTCTTACAGGTAGGCTGTGAACGTGTCTTTTATGTCAAAGTCCCTTCTGAAAGGAAAAAAATTAATTTTTGAATATATTTAAAGAAGCATTTACTATCCCCTTTGTGGTGACTAAATACTTTTTTTTTCCACATTATTGTATATCTGGGAATCCTTTGGCATTGTAAACCAGTGCATTGCCACTGGAAACATTTTGCATGCTTGGAAGTTAAACTTGACTGTAATTGTTCAACCAAAAGTAAAAATTTTTTTGTACAGCAATGTCAAAACAGTTACTACATTTATGAAGTTGCGCAGTTTAATGTATTGTGTGGAAAAGGAGTACAAGGTCAGCAGCAGCATTTTGTTCCGTAGAATTTGGCTGTTGCCAGGCTACATTTAAGCAGGAAAATGTTTAAACCATGTTTTACATGGGGAAAATGATAATGTTTATAGCTAAGGGAACTCTTGATTCTATTTACAGGTGCAATAATGTTTTGTACATCAGAGGTGTGGAAGAAGAGGAAGAAGATGGAGAAATGAGAGAATAGGTGTTTTGTATTTCTGGAAATAAATTTTTTTTTCGTTTTTGTTTTTCATACTTTTGTAGTAAGGTGTTTACTTTTTTTCCATTGTGTTTTATTATGAAAAAAAGTTACCCTTTGAAAGGTCTTTAATATTTTATTGGTGTCCAAAAAACTAATGCTGGAGGAACAACAGGTAATTGTTTCAATTTAAAGCTGAAAATATTAAACTGAAAAGCGAGTGTTTAAAAAAATACCAGTTATCTTCCCATCTGAAACACAGGAGGACTTGGCAGTCTCTATATTTTGCAGTATGTATGTAGTGACTATTTAAATATATTTAATCTTTAAACATGTTTATAGAACATTTGGAATTAGCTGAGAGGATTTCACTGCAGGTGAGGTGTGGAGATCTGTTAAACCCCAGTTTCCCTCAGAAATATTCTCCTGCGTTGCATCAGGAAGCTGGGAGTGTGGCTGTACAGTCATTGAGGAAGGACAAACTTGTATCAACTTAGTAGCCAACAACCAGACAAACAAAAGGCTCCTGGCAGCTGTAGAGATCCACAGACCTCACTGGCATTAACAGAGTTGAGACAAGAGACTGCAGGATGGGAATGTGCTTTGTGAGTCTCTGCTGAAGGGTGGAAAGGATGCTGAGGTCCTCCTCAGCATGCCGTGAAGAGAAGATATTCTGTAAAAGCTGCACAGGTTGTGGCTGCAGTAGGTGCATGTGGAGTGCAGATCTCCAGCCCTGTTGGCTGGGATCACACATCCTTTCAGAGACAGCTGGAGTGGGCAGTGCTGGATGCTCAGGGCTGCAGTAGGATAGAATGCTGGTTATGTGAACTGGGGGAAGGACACCAGCCTGTCAGGATAGATCCTGCAGAGAAATACCTCCTCATTTCTTATGTTGGAAGTCATCCCTGGAGCTATCCATGTGTTCCTTTACTATTGACATATGTAAGCTTCTGATTCTCAGGGTTTAAATCAGGATCTGACCTTGATTCTTGGAGAGGCCTAGAGCACAAAACCGATTTTTTCTCTAAAAGTGTAACAACACAGCTCACAGGTGTGCTGATTTTTCCTTTTTTCCCCCTACACCACAACATGCTGTGTTTCCTTCCTGACAAAACAGCTCTCAGCCCACCACCACTGCTTAAGCACCACCCACAGTGGGATGTCCTGTGCTTGTTACCATGCTGTTGCCAGGTTCCTCTTCAACATCTGCTTTCAAACATTGTGATGCTGCTGGGGAGCGCCAAATTCAGCAGCAGGAACTCCTGGAAGTGGTGAAGCACCCTCTACCAGCTCTCCTGTCACTCTTCTGCGTGCCTAAGTGAGAGTTTAGGAGGAAGACAAAGGTTATGTCAGTGGAACAGTACCACAAGATATCACCCAACACTATTGTAGCTATACTCACTTTTCAGGTTTGGTAATAAGTACAAATTACTGGGCTTTAGATGCAAATCTTGCCTCATTTGCAAACAAGACTTCACCAGAAGGGCTCTTTCAAAGAGTCAACATATCCAACTGTTTTGGCTGAACAGGAATATGTACATGCACATAAGTGTGTTACCGGCATTTTAAATCAATTCTCTTTCTAAAAGAAAAGAAGGTGTCTAAAGAAGATTACCACCCCGGGAGAAGTGTTTGAGGGAACACTTCTTTAGAAAGACACTCAATTTTTCATCTGGGAAAATACTGGAGTCCTACAGACGCTATGAATATGTGAAGAGAGAAGAGAAAGCCAAAAGTCCGTGTTGGGAGCAAATACTTGCTCTCTGATTCTCCCATCTCTCGTTCACTAGGGGGCAGCAGAATAGCACAGACGTTTCGTTATTGGAATCGGATAAATGAATACCTGCCTGGATAAATGAATGTCTGCCTGAATAACTGGCGCGGTGCGTGGGAGTCGTGGTCCCTCGGGGCTTGTTGCTGGGATGCGGGCAAAGTGGTTGGCGCCGGCAAAATGAGGGATGCTGGAGAGGTGATGGACGCCGGGGAGGGGGCACGTGGGCAAAAAAAAACCTCTCCCAAATCAGAAGTTTCTGTTTTCTTGGCAAAGGGAGATCTCCAGGTGGTGCTGTGAGGACGGAGAGCTCCGGGAAGCCCCAGCTGCGACACCCGGTGCTCCGGAGCCGGTCACGATGCACGGATATTATTATCACGTTATCCTGGACCGAATCCAGCCCAGCATCCCGCTCCCGGAGCGGGCCGCAGCCGCGTTAGGGCAGCCCGAGCCGGGCAGGGCCAAGGCTGGGG